AGGGATGCTGCCCCACGGTCCTCCCCTGACCAAGGCACCAGCCGAGGGCTTGACGTCTGCGCTGGTTTAACTGGCAGCAGTTTACTGTGCCAGCAAGGTGTTAAGTCCATCCTTTTCCCCTATGCAGAGGGCAGTTTGTTTGTACTCATAAAGGCAGAGATAACGGGATTGACTTAAGCAATCCCTGCCTTTGGCACAGAGCCAACGACGCACTTCAGCGGGGTTGCTTGGGGAAGGATGCCCAGCCGTGCTCTGGGCTGCGAGACAGCACAGGCACCCGCGGCGCTGGGGATTCCTGAATTACCTCTACCTAACGGCCAGATGAATTTCCCAGATGCGCAGGACGAGCTGAAATCACACCGAGTGTCTTTGTGCTTTATCACATCAGTATCCTCCTCCAAATTCCTCTGTTGCCTCAGTTCCTTCTACAATGGATCTATCTCTACATAACATATAGCGGAGGTAACTGGGAGATTTTTTGAGGCAGAAGGGACAGCTGAGCCTCTTGCCTGCCCAGCTTCCAAAACCACCTTTAGTGAGCGTGGGGATGAAGGCCACAAGGACCAACCCTCCTCCATCTGCCTCTCAGCGAAGGAGAGATCCTCCCCGTGCAAGACCGCCAGTGAAAAGCTGGGTTGTGCAATCACTGCTGAGGCATTCGAGGAAAAAGAATAATATTTAACAGTTCTGGCAAGAGCGTGCCTAAGCCAGCAAGCTCAGCTCTCCTCGCTCTGGGCCGGGGAATGAGCTGGGCAGAGCCAGAGGGAAATTCTTTACGTTCTTAAGATTCGGAGGTGGAATTAAAATAAAATACTCCTGGGTGAGGGCCAGGGTATCTGGACTAGCAAGCTTTCTCTTGCTTTTAAACATCACACTCGAATCGTATTGGGGACTACTTTTGGAATGGAGTTGGTGTCAGGAAAAACATTGTATTGGAAGGCCAGGGAGGGGAAAAAATGAAAAAAGACCCATTTTTGTCTTTGAATGTGCCAGGCCTCCAGCTAGCAGAGGTCAGGGCAGTGTGCTGGGGACTTTGCTCGCCCGCTGGCCCGGCAACTTGTGTGATGGGGTGGGAAAGCTGCCGCTCACCGGGCAGGCCTTGGTGCGGGCGTACGGCAGCACAGTCTGTCACTGCTGCTGGATCTGGGACAGCCTGCGTCGCCTGAGGCTGTGCAGGATGGAGAATTCCTTCTCCAAGGAGGAGGAATTATTTCCCAGCTTTAAGGAATAAAAGAACAAGCCAATGAGGAACAGCCGACACAACTGTCACATAACGACTGATTAAATGCTATTGCTTCTGGCAGTGTTTATCCACCGGCAACAGCAACCTCACGGACAGGAGTTAAGCTCTGTCTGTGCCGAGGCTTTGCGTGATGCAATATTTGATGGGTTATTCGATCCGTGGCACTCAGACGAATGCTGATTAAAGAAGGGCCCAGCATGGGACACCCGCTATGTACAGTAGCTCCGTCTGCTTCGTACAGCAGCATTGTGCTTTTCCCCTTTCCCTTGGAGAACGGCATTTTCCCCCCCCCGGAGGCACTGTTTGACTGCCACAGATTGGAAGCCTTTAAAAGGGAAGATCTGTGTGAGTCACAGTTAAAGCCATAAAAGAAAAACCAATAAAGCGATCTGAAAAGTGCTGTTTAATGGATTGAGGCAAACTTACTGGAAACAGGATACAGGCTGTTTCATCTTTAAATCGTTAGTTCAAATCCAGCTGCATTTGGGAGCAAATGACATTTATTCCCCGTCAATAGCTGCCAGAGAAAAGAAATTTGAAAGGAATTTTACCACCTGAAAGGAGTTGCTGGTTTCTTGGTGCTCCCAGCAGCTCCCTGATCGCATCTGAAAGCCTCCTGGACGTTGGGTATTCTTGAAACCCAGTCCTCACAGGGCAGAGCTTTTCCCACCATGAAAGTACTTGCCACTGTCCTGAACATAGGCATCTGCTCACGTGGCTGCCTTCGCTTCATTTTCTTAGCAAATAAAACACGCATGAGCCACACCACGTTCACCCCTCTCGATAGCGATGCTTCTCCATCGCCTCGGCGAAGGAGGAGGCCCAACAAGCGCTCATTCGTATCGGCTCTCGGGGCAGCGCCGGCAGCGAGCGTTGGCTCATCGGTGTCGTTAGAAACCGCGTCCTGACAGGTTCATAAAAGTTTTATGATAGGCGCTTTGCAAGGGCTATGAGACGTGAGGTAATGGGCTGTGATTAATTCTCGCATCCTGACGGTATCGCTGTCAGCTCAGGCACCGTCGCTCCGCATCTCGTGAGGCTGGGATGACGGCAAAGCCCAGCTGGTTATCTCCCCAGCTCGTAGGATTTGTACTGTCTCTCCAGGAGACAGGGCAGTGAGTCAGACCTGATTTTAGGGCTTTTTGGATTACAAGGGGATGTTCTCCCGCATGGTGGTTTCCATCCTTTTTATACCAATGTCTTGCTGCTGGTGCTGTCTCCCAGCCCTGGTGTTCCCGGCCAGCCAAGCCCTCACTGAGTCTGGTGGCACTGACTCAGTGGTGGCTCTCGTTAGCTGCTGGCCCCCGCTGCAGTGACAGCAGAGGGGATGCCCCAGCCACAGGAGGGAGGCAGAGGGCAAAAGGCACAAACATCCGTTGGGGATGAGCAGGGGTGAGTGTCGATTGCCACTGTTCATTGCAGAGGTGGCTTTTCCCGGACTGAATTTTTGGCTGGCATCATGTTAAACCTGATTTATTTTTTAATTTATTGAGCTGATTTCTTTTTTTTCCCCATTTGGCAAGCAACACAAATTTGGGGAATGTCCCATGGGATTGTTCCCTTTGATATGACCCTGCAGCAGCGCTGACTTTTGTGCGGGGTGTTTGTCTGCATATGGTGACAGCAGCTGGGCCAGAGCTCTTGTATGCAAAGAAATATGTTTTCATTTTGATTCAGCCTTTACGTATCACTATATTAATGTTAACAAGTCAAATTCAACCTATTTTTCCCGCTCTTTAGGGGTAAAAGCTGTCTTTCTGCATAGAGCATTGAGAAGGAAGCGGTTGGGAAGGCCTAAGGCCACTCTCTGTTAGAGGTGAGTTAATGTATAGATGTGAGCCTCCTCGTGTAGCTACACCAGCCGGCTGAATATGAGCCAGCAGTGTGCCCAGGTGGCCAAGAAGGCCAATGGCATCCTGGCCTGTATCAGGAATAGTGTGACCAGCAGGACAAGGGAAGTCATTGTGCCCCTGTACTCGGTGCTGGTGAGGCTGCACCTCGAATACTGTGTTCAGTTTTGGGCCCCTCACTACAAGAAGGATGTTGCATTGCTGGAGCATGTCCAGAGGAGAGCAACCAAGCTGGTGAGGGGTCTGGAGCACAAGTCATATGAGGAACGGCTGAGGGAACTGGGGTTGTTTAGTCCGGAGAAGAGGAGGCTGAGGGGAGACCTGATCGCCCTCTACAACTACCTGAGAGGAGGCTGTAGCGAGGTGGGGGTCGGTCTCTTCTCCCTGGTAATGGGCGATAGGATGAGGGGATATGGTCTGAAGTTGCACCAGCGCAGGTTTAGGTTAGACATTAGGAAAAATTTCTTCACAGAAGGGGTTGTCAGGCTCTGGAATGGGCTGCCCAGGGAGGTGGTAGAGTCCCCATCCTTGGAGGTATTGAAAAGAAGGATAGATGAGGTGCTTAGGGACATGGTTGAGTGGTGGGATGGCAGGGTTAGGTTAAAGGTTGGACTCGATGATCTTAAAGGTCTTTTCCAACCAAAGCGATTCTATGATTCTACCTCCAGGGGCAAAGTGCTGGTGCAGATCATCCTTGCTCCTTGCCTGGCCGCTTCCCCCAGCTGTGGGTCAGAGGAGTTGTGGGATGTGCCGGCAGCCGGCTCGGGCTCGAGCTTGTGCTCCAGCCTGATGCTAGTCCAGATGTTTCCACAGCTGCACACGTGGTGGGCACGTGGCTTGCGCTCCCCTGCTGCTGCAAAACAGGTGTGTGACACCAGAGGCCACCTGAGCCAGGCGGTGCTCCGCGCTGTCCTGCGCTGTCCGTGCTAAGTTTCTTGTTAAAATATTCTCAGCGCTGCAGCCTTTGCCCCTCTGCCTGAGCAGCGGCGGGCGGGTCTGTGGAGTGAGTGGTGACACAATCCAGCTGTTCCCAGCTCTCAACATCTGTCTGGCACAGCCCTCCAGACGTTGGTGCACATGGGCTCCGCCAGAGGCTC